AAAGAAAGGGAGTTAATTGCTCCTACTTGGTTAATTTGCTTTCGCTTTTGGTTATTCTAGTATTTCTTTCTTTGTCGATAAGTTAGTCATTTTCCTTCTTCATGTATATATTCAGATCTTCATATCAATATATTTTTAAATAAGCAAAGTGAATAACAAAGTAGGAAGCAGTACTGCTCCTAATCCAGGAAGCAGAGCAAGAAACAGAAAGAAAACAATAAGGAAAGAAGAAGACCATAATTAAGCAAGGCAAAAATCTTATCAATTCTTCAAGGCTTGTTTAGTTGAGAGGACGAATATATGTACTCCTTGGTAGTTATAATCAGGCAAAATTGTGAAACTATTTTTAAGAAGTTAGGTTTGTATTCCTCAGTAGTTATAATTTCTTTAAATCAACATCCATTCATTTGAAATGTTGCTCCTTAATTCTATTGTGGGGCTTCAACTTGGAGCAGTAGGACGGCATTCCCTTTGTGAAGAAATTCTTTTCTTAACCAAAAGCAATCACACCTTTAATTATTCCCTTTAAAATGAAAAGCCAAATCTTAATCAAGTCCTTCTATATTACGTAAGTTAATAGCCCAACAGCTCCTTTTAGTATTTATCTGTTTTGATTTTTCCACCGCTTAGATCTGATACCTTGCTTTCTATCATATAAAGGAGAGATGCTACCGGAACGTAAAGACGCTCCCGACGTTAATTCTTTGCGGTTGCTTTCCATTTTTAACATTCTTTGCGGTTGCTTTCCATTTTTAACATTCTTTCTTCATGATATATATATAATTAATTATTAGTATACTCCTTTGTTCAATATATTTCATAAAACATTTATTAAAACTAATTATTTTCAAATTTAATTTTAAGGTAAAAAATTTTTTATTTGTAAAATTTAATGACTAAATTGGTAAGTGTATTGAACTGAAAAGTATATAAATCATATATATATATACATGTAATGATTAATATTTCTCTTTGATTCAATACATTTCATAATACATTTATTAAAAATAATTATTTTCAAATTCAATTTCAAGGCGAAATAAATTTTACTAGTAAAATTTAATAATTAAACTGATAAATATTAATAGGTGTGTTGAATTGAGAGGTATATCGATTATTACACTATATATATATATGGTTGTGCTATAGGGACAACCTTTTTGTCCCACCTTTTTATATAATTTTTATATATTATTAAATAAGTGGATGCATTCAATATTATGAGTTTCATATAAATTAAAAAAACCAATCATTTTAATGACATGTTAGGTTGTATAAAAAGATGGGACAAAAAAATTGTATAAAAATCATTTCCATTATATATAAGAATCTATTTATACATAAACTTTATACACTACACTTATATAAAATTTTGATCATTCATCTTTTTTCATTTTCAATGATTGAGATTTATTTATTTTTTTATTATATTTACTTAAGAAAATTAATTATCTTTTTATCTAAAAATTTATAATAAATCTCAATTATTTAAAGTAAAAGAATAAATGATTAAAATTTTATATAAATATAATATATAAGACTTACACATAAATGAATACTAAATCATATATATGGTTAATGGCTTCACACTTCAAAAAAAAAAAAAAAAAAAAAAAAGAAAAGAAAAAGAGAGAAACAGGGAAATTGCTCCTAGCTAGCTACTTGATAATAATAATTTGCTTTGGCCTTCGGTTATTCTTGGATTCCATTTTGTCTAGCGGTTAGACATTTTTCCTTCATATATATACACGTTCACAACTTCATTTATATCAGCTGATTTCTTCATCGTTGAACTTTGTCAACAGTGGTCGGCAAGAAGATTTAGAGGTCAGCGCTGATGGAGGCAATTAAGCCTGCTGGTAAAAATTTTTGCTTTTTTTTTTTCTTTTCTTTTTTAGATTGTTGATTGCTAAATATTTTCTTATTTGAATACCAATATTATTTTGGAAGAAGAATTCCTGTAATTCCGTTGTTTAGTTTCGATATCCCTGACGCCTCCCTAGCCCTTGCTCCTCTTTCCCCTCTTCCTAACGCCAGTTGTGTTATGAATTGAAGGAGATCTAACCTTAGTTTCAAATTTATGGTGGAAAAATCCAAAACAAAAAGAAAAAAGAAGAGGATACCTGGAACGAATGAGAAGGCTGAAGGGTGAGCTAGCTAGGGAGCTGTTTGGTTTTTATTCACTCAATCCATTCAAGAATAAATGAATAATAGTTGTAATATAACTTTTAAAATTACAAAAAGTTTAGGCTAATGAATGCTAATTCAAATTTTTTTTTCATATATAATTCTTATTTACTAGTTTTATTTGATAAAAAAATTAATTATTATTTATATTTTACATTAAATTTTCACTTAAATTTTTAAAAAAAAAGATAAAATAAAATTAAAACCACTATAGTATTATTATTGAACGAAGTAAATTTTAGAATTTCTAAGGTATAAATAAAATCCAGACTACATGTAATTCATGATGTGAATAAATTCTTCTTCCTTCAATTATCAATGTTCAAGAAAAAAAAAAAAAGAAGAGGCCAATTTCGGCAATGAACCTACTGTCAAAGTGTCATTGCCTTATCAATATATTTATTAAATTTTGTTGTCATTAAGACCCAATATTTATTACAGTCCAAAAATTAAAAAAGTTAAAGTTTTATTAGTGCTGAAATAACTCTTTTATTTATTAGTTTATTTTAATCTTTTCCTTTTAAAATTTGATTTCAATTGTAATTTTAATCTATTTATTTTTCATTGTTGGTAAAACATTGAAGATTAAATGAATTTAAAATTAAAATTATTGTTTTATTCACAAGATAAACAAAATTAAAAAAATCCGACTTAAATCTAATTTGAATTTATATAACAAAAACTATTTTTGATTAAAGGGTTGATTGTTTTGGGCTTTTAGAAACCGTTATTAATGGTTAGTTTTAAGATATTTAATTGTTAGTTTTAAAATATTTTGAATTATAAATAATAATGATTATTAGTTATCAAATTTTAAATATCAATAATCAGCTATATCGAAAAATCTAATTCAGACAACCTTAAGCCATTTATTTGAAATTCAAACTTCATTTTATTAAATTTTATTTAAATTGACAATTAATCCTATTGTATTATCCTTCTAAATTTTAAATTAATAAATAAATAAAATTCTTACTAAATAATAGAATCCGTCTTTTTTACCCAAAAAAAGTGAAACCCCTGTTTTCTTCGAGAACTGAGAAAGAATCTCTTAAAAATTGTTTAATCCTCTATAAAATAAAAGATAAACAAAGCAGTAGATATAAATTTGGAATAAAATTCTGATTAGCATTTCAATTGTCGTTTGCTTATTGTATTTACCGCTTGGTTTTGCCAGGCCAATAGGATTATTTAATCGAGGCCCAAAATCTCAGTTGGTAATTGCACGGCCCATCTGGCAGACACCTCTGGCCCACCCTTATCCTGTGCACTGTTCCTCAGCAACTTCAATCTTTGTCTTCTAATTTTTACCAAAAATAAAAAAAGGGAAAATCTTTGCCTTTTAATTAGTACTTTCTTACATTCCCTCTCTACCAACCTTACAATGATTAATTACTAATAATTGACACAATGTCAAGCTATATTATAATGTAATTATATGTGTACATGTTTGTGAATGTTGTGTTTATTCAAATTTCATCAGGTTCTCAACTTTAAATGAAATTAATTAATTTCTTAAATTGGTGTGGCTCCTTTTTTCTTTTTTCCTCAAAGATTCCTTCCTTTGTTTTTAGAGTTTGTATTTGAAGGACCTCTTTTATCTTCTTAATTAGCATAAACAAAGACGTTAAGTATAAAGCATAATTTAATACTAATTTCAGTGTTCAAATTTTTGTATTGTCAAACAATTATAATTTCAACTTCTAAGAGGGTATCTCAAGTGTTAAAAAGATTGAAATTGTAAGTTGAAGATGTTGAGAAACCTTGAGATGGGTAGGAGGCTGAGCTATTTCCTATTATGTAGTCCATCATTTGATATTAAAAAAAAAAAAAGATTATAAAATCTAATGTTTGAGAGAAAAAAATAGTATTAGAAGCGAAGCAAACTCGAATTAAAGAAGATAGATTTCTTTATTAGTGTGGTGATATGGATGAGTTATCTAATTTTTTTGGCCAACAATGAGATCCTTAATTTAAAAAAAATTAACTTGTGTATTTGTTGTACCTTTTCAACATTAATTTACATAAAAAAAATTAAAAGTTGATTAAACATTTATCAACTATCCAATTAAATCATTTCACGTGCTATTGGTGTTAAAAATAAAGTTTGCTTTCATAATTCTCCATACAAATCAATAATAAAAAGATATAATAAATGTATCCTTAAGTTATAGTTTAGAAAACCTATTAAAATTATAGTTTTATAAAGAAAAATGTGAGAGATGCAAATTAAAGTTAACAGGATTATTGATGACTCTCATTACTTAGATTATTTGTGAATTAAATTGTCCTTTTTTTTCCCATAATTTGATGCAAAATCATGTTGTCAATCTTCTCAACTTGTCTTTTTAGTTGAAATCAAGTTTGTTAAGAGGGAGATAAGAGAAGGAGTTGCCAATCAAGCTACATAAGATTAACAAGGAGATCATAATATGGAGAATTCTAATCAAGTTTTCAAAAATATTTTTATTTAATCAAGTACATTCTTATTTCTCTTCTAACACATTGATAAATTATTACATATTTATATATAATGTAAATAAAATTATGTGTAAAGTTAACAAGAGATGACTACTCTAGTAAGTAGAAGATAATTTGTTTTTAGATTCTTAGTTTTCCCTTGATGAAAATCATGTTGTAACTCAATGTTCTTTACAGGTTGAAGTCAATGTTCTTGAGAAGAAATATAAGGAAGGAGTTATATTCAAGTTTCCTGTCAATAATTTCATCTAATTAATCAGGTGCGTTCTTGTGTTTCATTTCTATGTTAATTTTTAGCTAGCAAATTTTACATTGATCAATTACGTATATAAAACAAATATGAATATTATTGGTTGTGCAGTGTGCTCTTTTGTGCTAACCTAGTTAGGTTTGTCTTATAACCCTTAGCTTAGGTCATGTTTGGCTATAAGCAATGATTATTTCCTAGTTAACCTAAGAAAATAAGGCAATAAAGATGAACTTTTTTTCTCTAATGAAAAATTGACTTAACAAGTTAGGAATACTAAAGGTTTAAAATTAATCACTTTTTACTAAACTAGTAGTAACTAGATTAAAAAGGGAGAATCATGTTTTTTAGTATGCCCTGCACTTTAAAAAATATCAGTTCAAAGTGAGGAAGAATGGAAACAATAGTAATGAATCTTTTTGCATCCCTAATTCACTTGGTGTAATGTTGTCGTTTCCAAATACTAACTATGTTTTTAAGGGGGGAATACTTTAAAAAACATTTCGATTAAAGAAATAAGTATTATCACTTCCTTAAGAAATATAGGCATTCCTTACTTTCTCCATAACAATGAGAAAAATTATCGATCTTTTAGCTTTAATTTTATAGTTTGAGCAATGAATAACCAGTATTCTCAACAAAACATGACTTTTTTTTCTTTTTTTTTTTTTGGGTTTTAAGATTCCTTTTTGTGTTTTAGAGTTTTTATTTGAAGGGGCTCTTCATCTTCTTGACCATAAACAACTAGATATAAAGGGTAATTTGATTTTAATTTTAGGGTTAAAAATTTTCTGTGTTGTCATTCAGTTCTAATTTTTAGTGTGAAGAACAAATTGTTATAGGAGGTGAAGCAAACTCAAATTAAGCAAACTCAGATAGATTTCTTAATTTTTTTGGTGTAGCAGTATAGATGCAATCCTTAATTAAAATATTATAGTTTTATTAAAAATAAATGTCATACCAATTACAAAGTTAACATGAGTATATTGATGACAGCTTAAATATGTTTTTTTTTTTTAAGTTAAAATCAAGTTTGTTAAAAGAAAACAGGAGATCGAAAAAAGGGAAGTTCTAATCAAGTTCCTTGAAGATATTTCGTAAGTTTAACTAGGTGCTTCATCTCTAACGTATCTTAACGCGTTGCCCAATTGCATTTATAATATAAATGAAAAAATATTTAAAGTACTAGAAATTAGTATTGATGACTCCTTGTTTCTCATAATATTTGTGTATAGAATTATAGTTTTCCTTTAGTGCAAATTACGTTGTAACTTAGCTTTCTCTCAATTTATGTTATCTTCTTTATAGGTTAAAATCAGTTTTATTGAGAGAAAATAAAAGGAGTTCTAATAAAGTCTCTTGACAATATTTAGTCTAATATTCAGGTACAGTGTTGTGTTTTATATCTATTTTCTAGCTGACAAATCTTATATTAATCAATTACATATATAAAAGAAATATAATATGTATATATAAGTATTTATTAATTGGATTTCAAAAAGATTATGAAAAATAGCATCCTAAACTATTTTATTTTAATTAAACATTACAAAAAAAAGGTTAAAACAACGATATATTTTTATTTAAAAATAAGTTATTTTAATTTTTTAATCAATACTATTTATTAAATTTTACTGTTAATTAAGGCTCACAATGCATTAAGGTTTAAAATTAAAAAATAACCATAATTTTATTAGTGTCTAGATAACTCTTCTATTTATCAACTAATTTTAATCTTTTCTTTCTTAGGATTAATTTCAAATAGTGATCTTATTTAGAGACTTGAATATTTTCTTATTTAAATTAGAATGATGATTATTCATTTACTTTTCATTGTCAGCTAAAAGCTAAAAACTAGATAAATTCAAATTAAAATCAATACTACATATTAAATTTTTCTGTCTTTTAAGGCCCAAAATGCATTACGTTCCAAAATTAAAAAATAAATATAATTTTATTAGTATTTAGATAACTTCTCTTTTTATCAACTGATTTTAATCTTTTTTAAAAAATTAATTTCAAATTCTAATCTTATGTAGAGATTTCAATTTTTTTTAAAAAAAAAAAATTAGAATGGTGATTATCCATTTATTTTTCATTGTTAACCAAAAACTAAAAAGTGTAGATAATTTCAAATTAAAATGATTGCTTTATCTACAAGACAAGTAAAATTAAAACATATTACTTAATTCTAGTTTAAATCTTATATAACAAAAATTCTTTTAGATACATTTATTTGAAATTCAAACTTTACTTTATTAAATTTTTAATTTAAATTCACAATTAATCTTATTGTATTATCTTTCTAAATTTCAAATTAATAGATTGATAGAATTTATATTGAATAGTGAAACCTATCATTTTTGCCAAAGAAAAAAAATGTAAAATCCCTCTTTTATTCAAAAATTGAGAAAGAATTTATCCAAAATTACTTAATATAAGTAATATAAATTTAGAAAAAAGTCTCCCGCGTAGTGAGACAAGGACCACTAGTTTTCTCCTAAATTTTTTTTATCCCATGTTAGGTATGAGGGAAATAGAGGCGAGACCGGACAATATCCACCCCCAATTTCCCTCCCTTCCTTCCCTTTCCCTCATTTGCTTATGTTAAAATTATAAGAGAAAATAAAAGAAAACTCTTCCCCTCCCGTTTTCTCCAATTTTTGATATCTAAATAGAGAATCGTATCCCCCACTCTTCCCCTCAAACCAAATAAACTATTAAAGATATAACAAATAAATACTAATACTAACATATATATATATAGGGGGATTCAGTTAAGCATCTTACCCATCATATTTATACAAAATTTTAATCATTTATTTTTCTACTTTTAATGGTTGAGACTTATTTACATTTATTAAAAATAATTATCTTATTTAATAAAAAAATCATGATAAATCTCAACCATTATAAGTAGAGATATGAATGATCAAAATTTTGTATAAATATAATGTGTAAAACTTGTATATAAGTAAATTACTTATATATATATATATATATATATGGAAACCTTGTTCTATGGTTTGAATTGTATTGGATTATAAAACAATGATCATTGGATAAGGAGGAGGACTCCTAATATTAAGGGGTTCATGTCATCAAGTGATTAATGTAGTGTAGTCAAGTACAATTTGAATTGCAATACACTTTTATATATATATATATATATATATATATAAACATGTATATATGTATGTGTGTATATAACAAATATGAATATTATTGATTGTGTGCCAATATTGTGCTAGCCCACTTAAAGATAGTCTTGTAGCCTATACGTCATGTTTATTCATTGTGAATAATGATAATTTCTTGGTCAATGCACAAAATAAAGCAAAATAAATAAACTTTTTTGTGTCAAGGAGAAATTTACTTAACAAATTAGGAATAATTAAGGAGAACTAAGTTATTTTGGTTGCCAAATTAAAGATAACTAAGTTAGGATAAGTAAAGATTAAGATTAATCATTTCTACTAAGTTTGTAGATCAAAGAA